ACATGTGGCTCTGATTTTATATTCTTATGCCAAAATATTAAGATTCCCAGAGATTAATGATCTCAGGGTTTAATCTTTGGCATAAAGGGCAGATTCTATATGAAAAATAAAATGCAAAAAAATTAGTTTCTGTTTTCTCTGTGTTGTCATCTTTCCAGGGTGGCTGACAGTCTGCGGACATAGAAGTGCCAGCAGATGTTATGCACTGGAGCATAACGTCTAGGATCTTCATATGGCTTAAAAATGAATTGACTGATTTTAACAAACACAGTTAGAAAATATGACAGCTTTTAGTCTTCTGTTAAAAAAACAAATCAAAACAAGAAAACAACACTCTACTGGGTATTTTAAAATAAATATCACTAGCTTTTACCTATTGGAATACTTGGATGTATATATGGGTTAGGGTGACACACAGGAATATGAAGATACTTTGTGCTAAGTTAACTTTTTTTTTTCTTCATATTTTAGGTTCCACCAGATCCCTTAAAGCTTTATAAAAATGTTAACTTCTGTCATAGTTGCAAAAATTACTTGCCATCAACTGAGTTTCCTGTTCCTGCTAATTCCGGCACCATTGGCAGATGTCATTTGTGTTGCAAGTTTGATAATGAGGCTCGCCAAAGAAAGGCATCTTTGAAGTACAAACTTATACTAGAAAATCTCAGAAAGTCTGAAGCTGATTATCAAGATGATGCTAAAATTGTTTTCTTAGTTCAGGTACTGTCTGAAAGAGCATTGCTAATAATGGAAAACAATGTGTTTGCCTGTAGTTTATGTCTCTGTTTTGTGTATATTGTTGACAACTTGAGAAATAGGCTAAAAGCAACAAAAACTTCTTCCCATGATATGGGATGTTCCATACCATAAAAAGGAAGCACTTAAGCTCTTGAAATGTAGCTATACTTTTAGAAGTAGTTACAAGCTATACATTAAAAGAAGGTAAAAGTAACTGACAAGTCAAAGAATCGGGTGATCCAAATTCTTCTAGTTGTGCTATGGCTGTCTTGTTCTTTACAGACACTAGCATCATCTGTGAAACAACAATAATGGTTTAGTATTGTATATATACTGTAATATTGTTCAAGCCATAATGCTAGTAAAACATTTTAAGCCCTGTTACTTGGACTGTTTTACAGTCCATATAACTAAACAACTAAATTGTTTCATGTTCTCAGAGGGAAAAAAATACAGGAGCCAAGGTTTTGACTTTCATCCTCTATGTCAGTAGAATGTCTGTATGTTGGTATTTTTAGTGATTTGCATTTATTAGTGAAGGGATTCACAAAATGTTTTAATTTCCTAATTTTTTACAATAATCTGTAATCTTCTGCAGTATTACTAAGTATCTAATGTTTCTTAATAATCATTACTGAAACAATTCAGTTCAAAGAACTTCTTCCCTCTGTCTCCAGCAAATTCTTTCTCTTACTTGTTATTGCTCATTTTGTCAACGAAACATCCAGTATCCACTGGGACAGTTTTAAATATGAGGTAACAGCAAAGTGTTATTTGTTGAAAATACTGTTTAGTGTTTGCTGAGATTTATTTGGAATTTTTGAAATTCAGTAATCAAAAACTCTAAAGCATCAACTTTCATAGGAAAGTTTTTGAACTGTGTTTTCAGTATGTGTGAAAAAACAAGCAAGTAAACAAAAGCTAGTCATCAGTATCCCACTGCTACCAAAACAAGCCATGGTGTTGTTTAGCACTCTGCCAGTGGCAGCTGCCAAAAGGAAGATTTGGTTTCTTTAATTATCATGCCTATGCTAAGAAATATTATCAGAGAACCTGGATTTAGTAAACGTTCATCCATATTGGTTTTAACTTAAGCTGAGAAACTTTCTGTGTCTAGCTTAGTTTATCTTAATTTGTAAACATCCTCCAAAATCCTTTGGACATCTTTCAGATCACACCCCGTTACTTGTGATGACTGGTGGCCTTTGATGCACTGAAACATGACAGCTTCTTAACTACTGACACCAAAGGCTCTCACTTGCAGTTCCATTTGTGGTTGTACCACTGCAGTTTTTCTAGATACTGTGTCATGTTCCTTCAAGTTAACCTCTTTTCTTTAGAGTTGTAGATATCTAAACTAAAGAGGTTTGCATCTTAAATCACTGATTTCCTTGTTTGTTTGTTTTTTTTTTTCTCTAAAATTTCCTTAAATTATTAACCTTTTTCTGAGCTACTTGGTTTTTTTCCCTTCCCCTCCCAACAACCATCCCTTCTGCTTTTGTATCCAGAAAACAGCTCTGAGACATCTAGAAATAACTTGGGCACAGCTAAAAGTCTTTTGCAGCAACTCTTGACAGCTTCATTCATTGCCCAGACCAATACCATTACTGGCTCTGGTTGAACTGTCTGTGGAGAGATGGAAGACTTTTGTGATAAAAGATTTTTCTTCAGAATCTCTTACATGCTGATTCTGACTGTGTTTGGCTTGACCTATATGAGTGCTGCTCAAGTTTAAAAGGCAAAAAGCAGTTGGTGAGAGTTAGGGTAGCTCTAGTAAGTTCCACTTACTGCAGCTATTTCTTATCAAATGAACTAGTTCAGCAAATATGTCTTGAGGCTGTTTTTTATTCTTTCAGAGGGTTTAACTGTGCCATGCTCCTTAGAATCGATGGTGCATACTATGGCTTTGATTTTTCTTGATGAGCAACATCCTAATGGCAATGTGGTGTTCATCTGAAGATACAAATACACTTAACTCCTCCCTTGGTTTGCTGCCTACCCTCGTTACAATCTTACCTGCTGACCATCCAATGAGATTGGTTCCCAGCCTGTCAGGTGGCAGCACTTGGTGGCTGTTCCATCTCTTGTGGGCACAGAATGAAGTGTGTATGTGTGTGATGCATCATTGGAAACGAATTAATTGTAAAGTTTCATAGCCAACCTCATGAGGTTCAACAAGG